CAGCTCTTCGCTGAACACCAACGCTCTCCGGAGTAAGTAGCCCCGGCTGTAAGCCATACCATTGCCGGTATGCATTCCCGATAATAGAAGCGAAGCGACGAGTCCCAGGAAGAAGTCGTGAAGAAGGAGACACGATCGCTGGCACAAGAGCTTTATTCGCCTGACGTTTCGGCTTCCTGATAGGGTTCGTCATCAGAGAAAATGGCAGATATGAGTGGTTCATGCACAAGGGACTGTAGTATTTATAGGATGCAGTCGTCATGCTACCGCATATCCATAAACATTCATGCTCCCCCCTTAATAAGGGATATTTGCACTTGGTGTGATGACTGTTTGATGACCGACATTCGCGTCGTTGATTGCTGCAATTTCATAGGTATGTGGTAGCATGGCGACTGCATCCTATAAATACTGCAGCCCCTTGAGCATGAACTACCCGTATTTGCTTTTGTCTCTGATGATGGGTTCGGGCAGGAGTCCGAAACGTCAGGCTAATAAAGCTCTCGTCCCAGCGATTGTTTCTCCTTCTTTATCACTGATAATGCCTGCCGGACTCCAACCTAGCATCTTTGTTAGTCCAACGCATCTACCGTGTGGTCCGTTTTCGAGGCATCGTGTGGCTGCGCTAAACAGTTATGCAAAATTAACGGGACATGCGGCAGAATCAGAATCGGATCTACCTCCACGTCCAGTGGAAACATAACGCAACTAACCAGTTAGAGGGCGTTCATTTTAGCCGTCTACCCAGGTGGTCTGCCGCTAGGCTACCAGGGGCCGGCGTTCCGATGCTGTTCGGCCAAAAGATTGGAAGTCCCCAGGACACACGCCGCCTGGCTGTGTGAGATTCACATTCTTCCTTGTCCTTTGGTAATCCAGGCTATTTGCAGTGTTTACTGGATTACCAAGTGGCATTGTCTATCATCTATACGTCGGAGATCGGTCCGCGAGATACAAACAGAACAGTAACCCGACCGAAGAATCAGTTTGCGACGCGACTCAAAAAATAAAGAATATCAGGCTTTCAGAGAACTCGGTTGGTGAGCACCAGACGTGAAGGTGGTAGGGGGGGGGGTATATTTTTGGGTTCATTGTCTTCCAAGAAAGGACGCTTTTTGACTGTTACAATTACGTATTTTTACAACCCATGACAATAAACATCATTTCCAGTCATTTTTTCTTAACTGTCTGTTTATAACTACCTATTAATACTATAAACGACCGTCGCCTGTAGAGGAGGATGCTGCATTCACTTAACTACTGTGTATTTCTGCTGACATGGCTGATGATTGCTAGCCCAGGAAGCTGTCGTGAAGAAGGAGACACGATCGCTGGCACAAGAGCTTTATTCGCCTGACGTTTCGGCTTCCTGATAGGGTTCGTCATCAGAGAAAATGGCAGATATGAGTGGTTCATGCACAAGGGACTGTAGTATTTATAGGATGCAGTTGCCATGCTACCTCATACCCGTGAAAATTCATGTCCACCCTTTCATCAGGGGTAGTTGCATTTGGTGTGATGACTGTTTGACGGCCGACATTCGCGTCGTTAGTTGCTGAAATTTCATACGCATGTGGTAGCATGGCGACTGCATCCTACAAATACTGCAGCCCCTTGTGCATGAACCACATGTATCTGCTAGAGTCTCTGATGATGGGTTCGAGCAGGAGTCCGAAATGTCGCGCGAATAAAGCTCTTATCCCAGAGACTGTGGCTCCCTCTTCATTACCGATAATGCCTGCCGAACTCCAACCTAGCCTCTTTGTTAGTCTAACGCATCTACCATGTGGTCCGTTTTCGAGGCCTCGTGTGGCTGC